GCCGGCGGGAGGCCCCGACAGAGAGCACCCGCAGGAGGGCCGAGAGGGCCCCAGGGCAGCCCCCAGCTGCGAGCTCCTGGACGGCCCGGGCGCAGGCATCCCCGCGCGGGGCCCCCTCCTCCTCCTCCTCCTCCTCCTCCTCCTCCTCCTCCTCCTCCTCCTCCTCCTCCTCCTCCTCCTCCTCCTCCTCCTCCCTCCCTCCTCCTCCTCTCTCCTCCTCCTCCTCCTCCTCCCTCCTCCTCCTCCTCCTCCTCCTCCTCCCTTCTCCCCCTTCTCCCCCTCCTTCCCCTCCTCTCCTCCTCCTCCCTCCTCCTCCTCCTCCTCCTCCTCCTCCTTCTCCCCATCCGAACGGTATTGCAACAGGGCCGACGCCGGAGCCAGTTTGGGCGTGTTTTCGCCCCTTGTCGAGCCCCGGGGCCCTCGCGGATCGATCCGGCTCGACAGACGACGCAGAAAGATGGGGTCCAGGGCACCGGGCGTGATTCTCCCCAGAGATCCAAAGTATTGAAAAAATGAAGACGTAGGTTTTTCTAAATTTTCGGCCTCTAGCGGCCCTCGCCGGGCCCTGGGACTGTCAAAAAACGAGTCAGGATGAAAAATCGGTCCTGGGGAATGGGTCGAGACTTCCGGGGACCCCGTCCTGAAAAAATCACGACATCGGATCTTTGGGTCTGCGATGGTGCAATGTTTCCGCCACTCGGAAGCTGGGCGAGGGCTGCTGAAAGCGTGGCTGCTAAAGCGGCCCTCCCGAAAGGAAAAAGCAACTTCCCGGAATGAGGCGCGGCACGCGAAACAGTCAAGGGGCTTCTTCCCGGAAGGACGAAGACAGCTTCCCGGAGGTCGATTTTAGCAGCCACGGATTTAGCAGCCCTTGCTTGGCTTCCGAGCCACGTCGGATCTCAGGGGAAACCCAGACATCCGGCGTCTCGATTTTTTCGAGACATGGGCCCCCGACCTCTCGACCACTTTCCCGGGACCAGTTTCTCATCCCGAGGCGTTTTCTGACGCTCCAGGGGCCCGGCAAGGGCCCCAAGAGGTCGAAAGCGATGAAAACCCTCCGTCTCGATTTTTTCGAGACGCCAGACCCTGAGATCCGACGTCGCAATAAAATTGCACCATCGTGAAAAATCGCGCCTGGAGCCCCGGACTTCATCTCTCTGCGTCATTTTTCGAGCCCGATCGTCCTGCGAGGGTCCCAGGGCCCGACATCGAGCGAAAACGCCCGGTGCAAAAAAATTGCAACGCCAGGATCGCAGGGGATCTCCGGGAGTGGATCTCGACCGCTTCCCCGGGGCCCGTGCATCCCGGGCTGTTTTTTGACGACCCCGGGGCCAGGCGGCGGCCCCTCCTGGGAGGCCGAAAGCGAGGCCCGCCCGTCAAGATTCTTTAGCTGCAGCGCCTGGGTCTGCACAACAAGGGGCAGCCAAAGTGTAAGGCGCTGAAATGAGGAACAGTTAGGGGTTTCGGAAGGGGCTCGATGCTCCTTAGGTTCCTCCAGTGCTGTTCCTCTTGTCCTCCTGGGGCACGGAGGCGCTTACGGGGCTAAGAAGGGGCTTCGTTCCTTATTTAATCGCTTCGCTCATGCCGCCGGCCCTGGAGCCCTCTTTAGGGCCTCTTGGGGGCCTCTTGGGAACCTCTTGGGAGTCTCTTGGGGCTCCTTGGCGGCGTTTTGGAGGCCCCCAGGGCCTCTTGGGGGGCTCTTGGGGGTAGTCGATTGCGGCTCCCCCCTCGGAGGCCACGATCCTCGTGAGGGGTGTCGAAAAATACCCTCCCCTGGAGTGGTCTGGTGGCTTCTCCCGGGCTTCTCTCGGGACCTTGCCGGGGTACTTTTCGTCCGGGGGCCCCCAGGGGCCGCTCCGCGCGCGCGAACTAGAAATATTGTTAACAAGTTACCGGAGATCTTAGCACGCCTCTGGCCCGTTGGGCCGGCGAATTTAGCGTTCCTTCTTTCAGCGGCCCGACTGTATGAGCTTCCACACCCGGACATCTGGCGTCTCGAAGAAATCGAGGCGGAGGCTTCTGACAGTTGTCGGCCTCTCGGTTCCCTCACCGGGCCTCGGGGCCGTCAGAGAACGACTCGGGACGAAAAGCCGGCCCCGGGGATGGGGCCGAGAGGCCAGGGGCCCATGCCTCGCAAACATTGGAGACGCTGGATGTCTGGGCAACATGCGCAGTGCCGGCTCCACTGTCTGCTTGCCCTCCTTCTCCCCCCCCTTCCTTTCCCCCTGCCTGCCCTTCGGCTAAACGTAAGAGTGACCTTTCGCCGGAGTAACCTTTGGTGCGGGCTCAACTGGGGTCCCCAGATGGCTGAGCGAGATGCGATAGCAGCGGCTTGCGCGATACAGTTCGGTCTCCCCCCCGCGGCCCCCGAAAGTCGCTCACCAAAGGTCACTCTTGCCTGGGGTCACTCTTACGTGTAGCCGAGCCCTCCCCCTCCCCCCCCAACTCCCTGGCCAGGGCAAGCACGCGCGTCGGCAACTTGTCTCTTCCGCTCCCCCCGCGAGCGTGCCAACGGGCACGCCTCGCTCTGCCTACTCCAGATTTCGTAATAAAAGGGAGGGGGTCTGGACCCTCCAAGACAAGCCATTTCAGACCTCCCCCGTGGGAGAACCCTCCAAAACATCGTCCCCAGACCCCCCAGGCCCTCCAAGATAGCCTGGAAGAGACCCCCCCCGAAATGAGACCCCCCTCCCTTTATTACGAAATCTGGAGTACCCAGACATCGATGTCCCGATTCTTTTCGAGACACGGGGCCCCCGACCTCTCGTCCGCTTCCCCGGTTTCGCTCGTTCTCCCTCGCGGGTCGTTTTCTGCCGGCCCCGAGGCCCGGCAAGGCCCCCGAGAGGCCGAAAGCGGTCAAACAGATCCGTCACGATTTTTTGGTCGAGACGCTAGATTCAGGTCGGGCATGTCCCTCTGCAGGGGGACGATTCGTTTCGACGATGTTGGACCGTTTGTGAATATTGTTTGACCATGTTTTTTATTTTTCTTCCGAACTCCGCCTGTAGGAAGACATGCCCGACCTAACGCTAGGTGTCTGGGTACTCCGAGTTTTTTCATAAGCGTCGGGGGGGCGTCACCCCCGCCGACAGCCCGAGATCGACCCCCGTCGCGGACAGCCACCGCGCGCCGAAGGCGCTCCGACCCCCGTCGCGGCGCGACGACGAGGCGAGGTTGATCCCCGCCGGGGGGGAGACCCCCCCACGCTTGTCAAGAAACCTTGAGTTAAGTCGGGCCTGTCCCCCTACAGGGGGATTTTCGACGAAAAATACAAGATACCCCACAAATAGTCCAAACATAATCCAAAAATAGCCTGGGGACTATTTTTCGGGCATTTTTTGATTTTTTTTTTTTTTTTTTTTTTTGTTTTGTTATGTTATTTTTTATTTTTCATTTTCATAAAAAAAACAAATGTTCGTCGAGAATCCCCCTGTAGGGGGACACGCCCGACTTAAACCTGGAGTGTGCCTCTCCGTCCTCTCGAGTGCACGGCCCTGTCTCTGCCTGCTGCCCGGATCCAAGGGGCCCCCTCCGCGGAGGACTCCGCGGGCCGCGTCATCGGCGTCAACACCGCCATCCTGACCAACACGGGCCTCTCTGCCGGGGTCGGCCTGGCGATCCCGATAGATCTGGCGAGCTCTGGGGGTGGGTGCCTTGAGATCCTGGCGTCGCAGTTCTTCCACAACGGGCGCTGTCGCTCCATTTCCCCACTCAGGGCTTATGTAGGGGTCCTAGCGGATACATATGGTTAGGTGAGGTATGGCGCCGATTTCGGCGGCACGCCCGGGTGCCCGGGTGCCCAGGTGCCCGTGTGCCCGGGTGCGCGGTAGCCCTATAGCCCTGCAGCTTTATAGCCTTATAGCCTTATAGCCTTATAGCCCTGTAGCCCCACAGCCCGATACACCTATAGCCTTATTGCCCTATAACCCTATAACCCTAATAGCCCGACAGCCCTGTAACCCAATAGCCCTATAGCCCTATAGCCCTATAGCCCTATAGCCCTATAGCCCTATAGCCCTATAACCTCATAGCCTTATAGCCTTATAGCCTTATATAACCCTGTAGCCCTATAGACTTATAGCCTTATAGCCCTATAGCCCTATAGCCCTATAGTCCTACAGTCCTATAGCCTTCTAGTGCTATAGCCCTATAGCCCTAGAACCCTATTAGCTGTACAACCGTACAGCCCTATAGCCCCATAGCCTTGTAGACTTATAGCCCTATAGCCCTATAGCCCTATAGCCCTATAGCCCTATAGCTTTATAGCCCTACACATATCCTCATTCGTTGTTTTCTCCGGTTTCACTCGGGCTCTGGGACCCTCACAGCTCCGGCTCGGAAGATGACGCAGAAAGGTAGGGTCCAGGACTCCGGTCGTGATGTCGGAGGAGGAGGAGGGGGAGGAGGAGGGGGAGGAGGTGGAGGAGGAGGAGGAGGAGGAGGAGGGGGAGGAGGAGGGGGAGGAGGAGGAGGAGGAGGAGGAGGAGGAGGAGATGGTACACTCTTTTTGCAACATCGTATCTCAGGGTTCGTAAAGCTTACTGGTGACGCAGTTGCACGAGTCAGGACAAAAATCACGACGGGAGGTTTTTGACACGTTGCAGGCCTCCGGGGGCCCTTGCAGGGCCCCGGCACCGTCAAGGAACGATTCAGGATGAGAAGCCGGTCCCAGTAAAGGGGTCCAGACCTCTTGGGGCCGATGTTCCGAAACAGATGACGACGTCGGGGGTCTGGGCACTGCGCTGCCCGTATCCCGCGGGTGAGGTGGCTCTTAGGCTCTGGTGAAAGCGCCTCGGCGTGTGAGCTCACAAGTGAGCGACGGGAGAGAACGGGGTCGATTGTGCCGACACTTGTCGCAGGTGAGCGCCCTCTTGCCATCGCGGTGTGCCACGCTGGCGGCCCGCGTATGCCGCAGCGTCCGTCTGCGACCTCGTGCGAACCCTGCCTCTGCGGGTCCACTCGACGCTGGGGTATCGGCCACCCCAGCCTGGTGAGTTCACTTGGCTGCAGACATCCTTCAAATTCCGAATCCCAGCCGGTTTCTCCGAAATCTGACCTGCAGGCGTAGGGCCGCTTCTGGTCGTCGCTCAAGCGGTGTCTCCTCTGCGCCCAGGATGCACCGTGTGGTCATGCTCGCTGGGCGCTGCTCTCTGGCCTCGGCCTCTTCCCTTCTGGGACTTGGTGCCCTCGTTTGGGTACCTTCCGCGTCGGTCGAGTCCGAGTTCGCGTGCTGAGTTCGACGAATTAGCAATGACATAACCTACATTTTCGGAGGTCCGCGCGGATTTCTTGGGTCGGCATTGGGCACCCCCTTCCGGCGCGCTGGGCGCGCCAGGGGCGGCGCCGGAGGCGCCGCCAGGGGGCTCCAGCGCTGATCCAAGAAGTCCGCGCGGACCTTCGAAAGTCTATGTTTCAGGTAATGGCTTGTTCCTCGATGAATCAAGCTTCCTCGCCCAGCGCACAGCTGTTTCAGAGCCTGCGCAGTCAGCCAAGAACGGCTAGAAGCAAGAAAGTATCCATCCTGCAAGGCTCAACCCGAAGGCCCCAATTTGCCCTCCATTCCCAGCGGTGGGGGTGTCGGGGAGCACTGGAAATAAACGCGTGAGGAACCCGTCCCCCCCTCCCGCCCGACCCGAAATTCGGGGAGCAGATCCACTGTGCCAGGCTGGGGGTCTGTCAGAAAGATTGTTCGGGCCTTCGGGTTAGGTCGGGGTGGCCTGGTGTCAGGAGGGAGGAAAACACAGACACAATTCATCGTCGATCCCCCAGAAAAGATGGGAAAACATGGGAAGTGGGGGGGAAGACACACAATTCCAGAAAACATGGGAAGATGTGGGGAGTCCTCCTATCTGTCAGCGAGCGAAGAACGGTATAAAATAAACTTTTTCGCCGTCGGGGACACCTGCCCCTGGGCGGCTGGAAAGTTTATACCCCTACGGTGCCACCGTAGGGGTATAAACTTTCCAGCCGCCCTGGGGCGGGTGTCCCCGACGGCGAACAAGTTTATCTTATACCGTTCTCCGCCCGTTAAATCTGTGTGCATCTATTTGCGTGTCCCAGGGCCCCTTCGTGGTGGGCAGCCCGGGGCTCGAGCAGGCCCGCCGTGCACGACCTGCCGGGGAAGGGCGGCCCCGGCAGGGCCGGCCCCCCCCCCCCCCGGGTGGGAGCGCCCCGCGGCCCGGGCCGCAGAGAGAGGCGCCCGCTGTCACGGGGGGGCCGCGCGGCGCGCGCGGGGGGCAGAACGTGCGCTTCGCCTGCCGCGGCCAGAGCGAGCCCCCCCCCCCCCCCAAAAAAATAAATACAGGGCCCCCCCCAAAAGTGCAGGAGCCCCTCCAAAAAGTACAGGAGCCCCCCAAAAAGCACAGGAACCCCCCAAAAAGTACAGAGAGGAGGCCCCCCCCCAAAAAAAATACAGGAGCCCCCCCCGCAAAGTCGGGGGCGGAAAGGAGGGGGGTGATGGCCAGGGGGGGGGGATAAGCCATACGGCCGAGGAGGGGCCGGGACCGTCGCGGCTTCGCTCGTCGTCGGTCGCCCCTTCGGTCGTGGCTCGCGCGCCGCGGAGCCATCAAAGAGAAGATAAAGAGGCGCCGCAGCCGCGGCGGTCACCCCGACCGCCACGCCCAGGACTAAGGAAGAAGCCTGGCACCGCCGCGCCAGGACCCAAAGAGGACAGGATAGGCTGCTGATCAGACTGGCGGCTGCTGCCAGCAGGCTGGAGCAGCACCACAGCGCGCAGCAGCCCCAGCGCCACCAGCAGCACGCCATGGCGCAGAACTGGAAGCAGCAGCGCGGCTCCTCGAGGGAAAGGTGGTCAGGAGCAGGGGCCACACACCTCGAGGCGTCGCAGCGCGGCCCTGGGAAAAGGTGGACAGGAGCAGGGTCCACAGCCCAGGCGCAGCACCAGCGCAGGCGCAGCAGCAGTGCCAGTGACTGGACTGGTGACTACGGAGCCATCGGAGGGCGACCCTGGGAGTGGGCCCTTGGGGATGGCCAGCAGCACAACGCGCAGAGGCGGCAGCACAGCCAGCAGCAGCAGCAGCAGCAGCCTCAGACCCACAAGCACCACCACCAGCCAGCCCACCACCAACACCAGCAAAAGCACCCACAGCACCAGCAGCGAAGCGACAGCGCCCAGCACTGGAAGCACAGTGCGCCATGGAGGAGCGCCTCTGCCAGAAGGAGGAGCAGCAGGCGCAGAAGGAGGGACCAGCACGACGCTCCAGCCTCAGCCTACATCGGCAGCTTCCAGTGCAGCCCGCAGCAGAAGGCAGTCCTGGACAGCATCACGCCAGTCTCCTTCGCCGTTGCGATGGAGCATGAGAGCTGGTCCGCACCACCAGACGACGAGGAAATGCGGTTCGTGTGGTGCAAGACGAAGTGCCACAGGCTGGGACGCCTCTCCGAGAACATTGCTGGCGCTAGGCTGGCGGGTTTGTGCACATCAAGCCTCGAGCAGGAAGCGGCGATCACCGCCACGAGCATCTCCTTCGTCTTGCCCCGCGGAGAGCGCGTGAAGCAGCTCAGGGCTACGCTGGAAAAGCTGGAGGAGGAGCGCACCGAGATGGAGAAGCGGCTCGGCAAGATGCTCGACCAGGAGGCGGCGGCCGCCAGAACCATCAGGGTCTACAAGACCCTGCTGAGGGAAACTAGAGATCAGATGGCAAAGACAGCGGGTGTGAAGGAGGAATCGTCAGAGGAGGAGGGGGGCCAGGACCCCACCAGAGGACGCACGCCACACCCGGCTGCGAGGAGGAGGCGCGACCCAGCTGCAGCACTAGCGGCACCAGCCACAGCTCAGCCAGGCATAGCAGCGAGCGCCTCCTCGGGACCAGCAACAACTGCACGATCAGCCCCAGCAGCACCAGACGGGATCAAAGACGCCATCAGGAAATTGACCGATAGGCTCGACTCGCAGCAGAAAGAGGAACAGCAACAAAGTGACCTGCTGGCACAGGCAGAGCTTAAGCACAAAAGCGAGCTGAAGGCCTACGAGCAGACCATGGCGCAAAGTATGATCCACACGACCGAAGCGCAGCTGGCCAAGCAGGAGGAGTGGCGCACATGGGAGGTCAACGCGCTCAAGCGACACCACAACGCCAAGCTGGAGGAGGAGGAAGCGAAATCATACGAGGCGCAGAGAGGCAGCCAGAGGACACAGGAGGAAAGGGCCAAAGGGATGCTCGTGGACTTACAAATGCACCTCGAGTTGGAAAAGAAGACACTACGCGAGGAGATGCGCAAGGAAGACCAGAGAAGAGCAGCCATCTACACGCAGCAGGTCCAGAAGGCCAGGCAGGAGGAGCAGGCTGTGAGACAGATGGCGGCTCAGGAGGCCCAGTGGTGCAAGATGGCGCAGGAGCACAATGAAAAGGCGACGCAGGAGATGGCGGAGGCGGAATACCAGGAGCGATGCGCCCGGCGCAGCGCTTACAAGGAGGAGGAGCTGCAGATCGCAGTGAACTACCAGCAGATGGCCTACGAGCACCAGGAAGAGGCCAACAGGCGCGAAGCGATGCGGGTCGTCCTGGACCTGGAGCACGCAGCCATCCAGGCGAAGGCATGCGAGATGCAGCACGAGCAGGAAAAGTACTTGGAGCGCGTCGGGGAGCACCAGGAGGCGGTGGGCAAAGCTC